GGGATTTTAACGGAGTCCGATTTCCGTATCATCAAAATCTAACATGCTAACGGGAACTGTTTCTCTAAAAACAAGAATCCGATGTCACACGATTAATTAATCACTGACGAGCGCTCGACCTTCGTATACGCAAACCTATCATATTCACACGTGACACATTCACACACACAATATCGATATTTCTAATGTCGATTAATTCACAAATCAAGAGTTTTTTATGCATTCGGACTTTTTCCCTTCCATGTATACCATCAAGGATTTTTGACAATCCTCAATGTAACTTAAACATTCGATAAATTTGATCTGTCCTCGAACCGTTTCTCAAGTGTTCAGACATTTTAAAACCTGCACGATAGACAGAATTATAAAATTTTATTGCAGTGAGGACATTAATAACAAAATTTAAAGCCTTTACATACAATTTTTAATATTCTTTAAAATTTGAAAATTGCATTCAGTGTAAGAAAGTAATAAATTATTAACTAATGTAATTTTTGAAGTATTTAATATTATTTAGTTAAACACAAAGCGAGTGATTTAATACTTATGGACAAAAATGTACATGAATTAAAAGTTGCAACAGCTGATACTAGAAACAATGTCGGGTGAAATTATCGAATTTTTAATATAAATCGGCCAAATCGAATTTTTAATATAATTTGCGGCGGTGGAAACACTATAAATTATTAAGTTTCATATTTTTTACATAAAACAGTTTTTCTTAAACAATTAGAACATTTATGAAACGTTTGAAAATGAGTTTTTATGCAAATCAGAATATTTTCGTTAATACGGCGAACTTTTTTTATATAATTTGTTTACACACCACGAATTGAAATTTAGAGAATATTGTCCATAATTTTTGGCGGATAACTTAAATGAATAAAAACGAAAGAGTTTGGTATATTTATGCAACGCGTTGTATAAACAGTCGGCTTGGAAAGTTTCATTTAATGGAGATATCGCTTTAAATATCTTGTACGACATTGCCACGAGCGATAAGAACGCTACCACAAGGGAAGATTCTTAGACAGCACTGACCTACAGAGAGCTACTAGTAGGGTAGACTCAAGCTCCTACACAAGATCGACATCGATGCCGCTCAATGAGCGTTTTTGTGCTCCTGTCTGCACTAGAAAGACATCTGCAACAAAAGTTCTCGTTTAACGATCCGTTCTTATCTACAGTCGGTTCGGAAAGCAATTTATAGAGTTTTATAACAGAAGTATGTTTGTTAAATTGAATCGAACGACTTTAGTTTTTTTGTGAAGTTAGAAGAATTAGTTTATTAAGTGAAGTGCTTTAATAATTTTGAAAACGTTGTAATTAGTCAGAATCGCGCAGAAAATAGTGGGAGGTTTTAAAATTTATCTCACAGGAAATCTCACGACATCCGAAACACCGATTTAATTAAAACTTCGTACAATTATAAAGTACAACGAAAGTAATAATTTTGCAAAACTGTAGTGCACAACTCTCCAAATTAACGGAGTAATTTAAAATTTTTATAATTTATATTCAGTGGAATGTCATTCGTAATTCATTCCCAACCAAATATAGACTAATAACATATAGTTAGAAATTAAAAAAATGTAATTCGCGGAAAAAATTCAATCTAAGTTAGTTTCGAACTGACGTATAAAAAGGTTGTAGCGGCTTATCAAATTCTTACTTTACCGCAGAACTTTTAGAAATCTACTAAACATTCTAGGATATGAACAATGCAATTTTAGATTAATTGAATTTAATTAGTTTTCTTGATTTCAACGACTTGCTGTATATAAAATTGTTTGACGTCGTATAAAATATTTATTTTGTAAAGAATATACGAAAGTTAATCGCGTAACTTACTCAAAATTCGCTAAAAACAACGAAAAAATTGGTTGTTAATTTTTTTGACTATGATGCATATAATCTGAAATAAATATATGTATAGTAATAGGATCAATAATATACATTCACTCAAAAAATATGAAAGTAAATCCGCAACTTCTTCGATGCAAGATCGTCATTTTACAACGTCCTTGTCGTTTTTTATTTTTCATGGCTTGAACTTTCAATAAAAAAATGTGAAAAAGCTCTATAATATGCCTTGCACAAACTAAAATGTCTTTGAATTTGTACAAAGTTTTTCATAGGTTAACCTGGAAGAAATTACGCAAAACAAGTGATTTTTCGGTTTTGTCTTTTTACTACCGATTCAATCGAGGTACAAAATTGAAACTAGGCATAAATTGTTTATTCAATGATATATTACATGTCGAATGAAACCATTCAAATGAAACCATTCGACATGTAATTTTCATGGTTTCATTCGGCTGTGCCCTTTATGAACTATTTTTTTTGAAACATGTAATTCTGCACCATGAAGAAACTCAAGTCGCTTAATCTAATTTAAAAAAGAACATTCGGTTTTAAAATTCATTAATTTACTTTACGAGCCGACTGTATGGAATGGGTTATACATATAGAGGGTGTTTCATAACATGTAAGACTTATTTCGGAAATGGACAGGGGACATAAAGTAATGACAAAAATATACAAACATGGGTTTTGGATAGAAGTTTGTATAAACATGTGTCCGATAATATTTTAAAGTTACAGCAATTTTCATGTTTCCAAAATTCATGACAGATTTTCTTAACAAAAAATACTCCAAATGATTACTCTCAGTTTGTATTCGAACAGTTGTTTGTGTCTTGATCTTATTTCATGACATGATGTACATTGCATGTGATATTATGCATAATGGTTCATTACGTCATTTTGGTTGCACATTTTCTAAATAAAACATTTCTTCGAAATGGATTGATTACACAGAACTTGTTAGATCTGTCAAGTATTTATTTCAATACCTAGTTGAAAACAATTGTGTATTCGACACTCATTATTGTACAAATTCGAGCAGTTGAATAAGACTGCCAATATTAGGAAGTTTTAAATTTTTTATCTCAAAATTTATACCGAAGTTCTCTATCTATGAAATTATTATAAAAAACGTTATAATATAGAAAATTAATAAACGTACAATGTAGTGCAAACTTTACGTTGGATGGTACGCAGTTGTTATTCGTTAACCAACACTGTAAATTTATGTAATTTTAATACTTTTTATAAATTTCATTTAACATAACATATGCATAACCTTAATATACCAGTTTTTTTCTAATATCAATAATTCAATTGGGAGTTTCTTACATTTGATTTTAAAATATTTAGTGTTTTGTTTCAGTTCAGTTTCTTATCTTAGTTTCCGTAAAAAGAAAATGTTTTAAGTCTGTCACAGTTTAAAAATTAAATGAAAAAAATGCGTATAAAATTACTATCGAATAGTTCCTACTTGTATAAAATTGTCTTTACATTGCTTTTTTCCATGTTTTCGGTCTTCTATCTCTTTTTGAAGTCGGTCACACGTGTTATGAAGCACCTTAGTAGATATCGATTTTATTTCTTTTTTGTTGAATTAAAGGAGATAAAAAAGTAGTCATTTAGCATTCAACAAACAATTTTAAGGCAATTATTATGAAGTTGAAGAGGATTTCTTATCTCTATAAGTAGTGGCACAACAAGGGGTATGGCAACAAATTAAATTCACTTCAAAGTAAGTTTGTGTTTGGGAGTGAGAAAATGATCCATTTTTGAAAAACTGCTTTTTTTCTACGCATATAATTTTAAACATTTAATGAAGTAGTTCTTAACATAAAATACGTTTGTTTTAATTCTTCTAGTGCTTATGAAATAACTATTTTAGGACAAATATTCCTCAGCAAATATCTTCAGCTATAAATAATAAGAAAATGTTTCAAGTAAGTACTTCAGGTTTAAGTTTAGTTTCATGTAGTGATTCCATTTACAATTGGGCGAATTATATCTGAAAATCAATAAGGCGTCACAGTAATCTGTCAAATACGCTAAAAATTTTCATCGTACTGTACACATAACCTTTGAACCGCTGGATTTATGAAATTGAAAACAATTTTATAAAGTTATAAACAATTATGGTTCAACGGACATTTTACAAAGTCACAAATGAATATACATTTACAAGGGAATCCCGGTGACTAATACACGTCACTTTTGACGAAACTTTACACAATTATTCATTAAATCTGTCTAAGAATATAGCTAGAATCCATTCGTACCCGTTTTGTACTTTAGGAGACAAATCAACTTCTTCATTTGTAACAGACCTATTTATATAACTGCTTATAAATCGTAAATGATAGCAAATAATATAGTTGTTTCTTTAACTCTACAAATTTATGTAAAGGTTTTGAAAAAATAATATTTTTACAAAAATTAAGTTAAAAATTAAATTAAATTATAACTATTCTATAATCTACTGTTGCAACTACATAGTGATTTAAAAATCAATATGTATAGAAAATATTTAAAACCAAAAGTGATAATTGTATATGTATATATAGAATGCCTTTCATACCCTGGAACACTCTGCATAATAGAAAATTAATATGATGCTCTATTTAGAAAGATAACGTGTTCTCTATGTCAAGGTTAAAATTATATTGAAATCTACTTTGATTTGAAGTTAAAAGATTTTTATTTGTCTCGGTGAATATAATATTCACATGTACGATATATTACATTTGTTTTTTCTCTAGAAGTCATACAGACATTCGCTTAGGATATTAACACAATAAAAATAAAAATATTTTGTACTTGCCAATCTAATACATATTTTACAGATTTCAATACTTTGTACATGGATGATATAATCTTTGGGCAAAATGAGACTGTATGTGATGCGAGAGTCATTTTTGTAACGAAGTACAGTATTCTCTCCGTAAATGTAAAAACTTCGGGTCTGGAGATTCACATTTATAGAATAGGTATTACATTCTTTGTAGTGAGCCGAACATAGAAAAGGATAGCAACACAAAAACAAAGAGGAACTGAGGTTCGGCAAACATGAAAGATTCGTGGGTTTTCTGTCTTTTAAATTCAAGTCTAAAAATTCAAAAAAATGAAATTTTGAATTATCGTATTCGTTTTGTTTTTCTGATTAAAATGGTACCAAACACGGTATAATTAAAATCATAATTACTTATATAGCAAGCCGTTAGGAGGAATTCGTATCTGTGCCGTAAATGTAAAGTTTGTTGTAAGCGGGAGTCCGAAACTTTTATGGCTTGTTACATAATTAATTACAATCGTAATCATATCGTGTTTGGTATCATTTTAATCAGAAAAACTAGACAAATACGACAGTAAAAGTTTCATGTAAAAATAGTAAGAAATAAGAAAATTGCAATCTTTTCCTTTGCTTGCATTCGTATGTGCCTCATCGATATTCGATCCTCGTTATTTCGGCAACTGATCGTGTTTATTCTTGACTGATTCCGAGGGGGATCCCCCTAGTGGTGGGGATAAAATTTTTACTCTTACGGTAGAGATCTTTTTCACATATATGAAGAGAATATTGTAAACCAATAAAATAAACTTAACACCTTTTACCTTTCGATTAGTTACTTTAAAATAATTTGTGGCAAACCAAATGATTACCGCTTTCCCACTTCATTAAAAATAAATACGAAATCGATATTTGCTATAATTTTGGGGTAAAGGACTAGAAACATTTTATATGGTAAACCCTGTATATGACTTTGAACGTAACACGTTCCATAGAGAATTTGTTTCCTTTCTCCCGTTTACATAAAACTGCAAAGCCATTTTCTTACAATCGTCGTGATATCAAAGCATTAAAACGAGCACCGATTGACGTCATGGCAGTTAAAAATGCGTATTATATTTTTTCGGGATTCTGTTTTGATATTGATAGTTTAAAAACATTTTTTTGCATAATTTAACGTTTCAATTTTTTATTTCTAAATCGCTATTCCTGCCTTTCCATTTCACCATATCTCATAAATAACTCACCATAATACATAAAAGCCGTGAACCATGTTGGAACCACACGTTTTGGATGTTTCTATGTTACAGAAACTGAAGGATAACGTAAATAATAAACTAGATCACATAAGTACCATTTCCGTGGATCAGGATAATCTGTACAAGCGGAGAGCAAATATTTTATGTATTTCAAGTACTTTTAACAATATTGCCTTCTGTTGCAATACCTTTTTGAAAATGTCATTTTTTGGTTTAGCCTTTTATAAATCTGAAGTTAAATTATGTGACGACCTGTTGTTTAATTAACAGAACATTGTGTTAATTTTCGAAACCTGATAAGCATCGTTGCTTTCATTCGATACAAGTAAAAGCAGCGATATTACGATGGAAGATTCATGTTTCGTTGAGAACAAATCTTCGTTGCGATTCATGCTCCACTCTGGTGTATACGAGACAAGAAATACAATTATTTCTCTATTAGCAATCATGTAATTGTACTACATTTGACAATTGCTATTTTCACTCAACAAGAATTTCTCACTCGCTCATTACTGTTTTCTTTCCGCACAATAAGCTTGGCATTCTTTTTCCATTCGCTCAATGTTTTCTTTCCTTATCACACATTTGGATAAAACATTTGAATACTTCTACTGCCTACGCTATAGTTGACACTCGTCTCGAGGTATTACCAAGTAGAGAGACTTTACTGTAATTACTGTTACACGCTTGCTTATTGTATCATAAATTGGTCGATCAACGAAACGGACTTTTCTTTGAGCTTCCTTGACATGAACGGGATTGGCTTTTGCTTCGTTCGGTAATAGCTTTCCTCACGTGACGTTCGAGTCCACGTTATAGTAATTAATACGCTCGCTCCTTGACAGATACGCGTACCAATAGAATACATTTATTGCTAAGAAGAACACAGGAAACATAATGCGACTTGCACGGTCAATTTTCGAAACGGAATTATATCTAGGTGTTCTTTTACGACGCTTCTTTCCAGATGTTTTTGTAGGTGGCGGAGATTGACGAGGAGGAGCAGGACTACAGGTGACGCAGGACATTTGCCAATGTCCCAATCCAGGGTCCCTGATGGGTTCTGGAAACGCTGACAGCGGAATCACTTCGATCATGCCGTCCTCGTTCATTGTAAAATTTCGACTGGGCTGCCCCTTTGTAGCTAGGCTTTCTGAAGTTCTTGCGTGTGTCTGCGATGTCTGTAACAAATAGCAATACTATATATTTTTGTGCTATTAGTGGTATTAGCACTAAACCTTCCGGCATATAATGTATACTTAACTTGAAATTAAAAATGAAGTTTAAAAATAAATAAACAAATGACGAAACATAAATTAGCGCACACATTTATTTTTTATCTTAATGAAAATCAATGCTGATTTGAAGGAAAGTACTTTAACAAAATGTGTGTCTTATAATAAGAAACTTGAGGAGTGGTCATTTGACCGGTTTGGTAGTTTTAGTGTTAAAACAAGGTTTTCTCGAATAAGATCAGTTTCTATGAGTAATTCTTTTAAATTTATTACTGACCTGACTAGTAATGGTAGTAGAAGGTTAATAAGTTCATTGTTGGGTTTATGTTAATATTAAGTCAATAACTTCATTATTCGTCTCAGTTTAAGTTAGTATTAGGTTAAGAAGCTCATTATTCAACAGAGTTTTGGTCAGTATTAGGTCAGTAAGTCCATTATTGATGGATAGTACATTCGTCATTGCCCTGAGTTTGTGCAAGCATACCTCGAATAACACGGCACTTGAATTGTAGAAAGTCGCGAATAGCATGAAAAAAAATGGCGACAACTCTCGAATAACAAGGAATTCGAATTGTATTAAATCGTGAATATTACTGTATCTGAATGTATTGTCCTATATAATTAAGTTTATTGAAGAAAAGAACGATATATGTATAATGGGTGAATTGAGTAGAAAAGAACGTCCGTACAGAAAAAATCTGGTTTCGAATAACATGGAACTAATTAACTACATTATTTGAGGGATGCCTATATCCTTACTTGTAAACATTATTAATTATTTATTTACATGATCATGAACTTAATTGCTTACGACTGAATTACATGAAAGCATAAATGATAAGTCCTAATGAGACCAAATACGACTCATTTGGACTATGTATATTTGCTGCTTTAATAGAAGATAATGTCGATTTATGTGGTTTTCTAAAGAATCTTTTTTTGAGTGTAAATCGGGGAATACGTGTATTCATTTTTACTTAAATTTTTAATCAAACTCGGTTTACTTTTAAAACAAAAACAAAAAATAGCGCACATTCAATATTATAATTTGTTTTACAAAACTATAGAATTATTTGAAATTCACTTTATAACTGAAAATAAAAAGATATATGCGTACGATTTAACGTGACACTCGTTATATTTAACACGTTCACGCCGGGGCGAATATTTACATTTTTCTTCGTGGGGCGGGGCGACATTGTTACTCCTTTGAAGCTTCGAATTCGTGGGGCGGGTCACGCCGGGGCGAATATTTACATTTTTCTTCGTGGGGCGGGGCGACATTGTTACTCCTTTGAAGCTTCGAACGCGCTAAATACGAGATCAAAACAGTTTTGGCATGCTTATAAATAAATAATTGTTATCAATTTAAAATATTGAATGTTAATGCTTATAATACTCAATTTTTGTTTATAATGTTGACAAAAAATAAAATAAACTTATTTTTTGAAAACCTACCTGTGATGCACGTCGCCCCACGGGACAATTAAGTGTGACCCACCGGTGGGTCACACCGCCCCTCAGAACAGTCAAGCGTGAACGTGTTAAGGTACTAATATCACATTAATGATGAAAATTTAAAGAATGTTGAATATCTGACCCAATAAAGAGTATATTCATAAATAGAAGGTTCAATGGTATTCGTATTAAAAATCTCATTTAAATCTGGGAAGCAAACATCGTTATGCTCTTTTTGATAGTACTTCGTGTAACTATCAGCAACTTAGAGTACAATGGTTACCTGGTGGGGGTGGGAGTTGATCAGATGTTGGATGATAGCTTGAGGGACTGCATTGATTCGTCGTTAAGAGTTTTTTAGTTTTAACCGGGATGTAAGTACGTTATATAAATATACTGACATCCTTTCTTTTTATTAATCTGAGTTTTTAACTGAAAATTATGTCCATTATTCTTTAAATATTAATTCTTAGTCTGTAAACAACAAATTATAGAAAAAAAAGAAATTGGCCTATTAAGCTGACTCGCATAAAAGCTCATTTATAAACGTTTTATAAATATATCAATCATTTAAGAAAAATTGAATTATCGTGCTTTGTGTACAAAAATATGAAACATAACAATATATCGTCTTCTCAGCGCCTCTATTTATATTGAAAATTTGATTTAGCATATTATCAATAAGATTTTTGATTAATTTTATGCGGGATTGTTGCATGTGTCAATTATTGCAAGTTTTAATTCATCTACACTCATTGTTCAGAAGTATTAATCCTTAGCGCTCCGTTGGCTCCGCTACGGAGCCATCCGTCATTTGTTCCTTAACTCCGTAGGCTCCGCTGCGGAGCCCAATGTTTTTATCCCTTAGCGCTCCGTATTGCTTTTTGAGGATATCACTTAAATGGTGGCAGAAACTATTCTTTTGGGGAATGGAGATGTCAATAATTAATTCATACATCTTGTATAAAACTGTACAGCACAATAAAAATGAGATAGCACTGACGCATTTAAAGTACAGAAAAATTTTAGTCGATCAACTCGTAAGTGATTTTCGCCAGAAGAGAACAAGAGTTTCTATATCAATTTCTGAAATCAGATTAAACGGAAAACTTCATATAATGAGGAAAGGTCCAAAGGGGGACTGTGTTGTGTGCTCTACAAGGAAGCAAACGGATGGCAAACGTCAAACAAGTGATTACTACGACACTTACCCAAGTAAACCCAAAATGCACATGGGAGATTATTTCAAAAGATATCACACCATGGTGAATTACAAAATTAAAAATTTATCTTTCATTTATAAGAAGAAAGTTCATATGTATAAAATAAATAAAATCAAAAACATTCACAAGCACGTGTAATTTTTCTCGCTTAAAATAAGACTCCTTCTCACTCGTTCCGTTGCGAAAATGTGCCGGAGTTGCTGGTAGGCAGTGGTACAAAAACGTGCGGAGCGCCAAGGGTTAAAGTATTGACTATTTTTAGCTTAATGTTTAATTTAATAGTACTAAATACCTCCCTTTCTACTACTATTTAAAGTTTGAAAAGGTTTTCTGTATATTTTCAAAAATATTAATTTTACGGATAAATGTTTCAAACAAAAAGTTAGGTCGTTTGACTGTTACAACACGAAACTATACAAAATCTTTAAAAATTAATATTTTTTACATTTATTTTATTAAGCAATGAAAATTTCTAAAAATACTTCAAATGGAAGTTGCAGATCTCTTAAAAATATACTTTATGTATATCTTTACTGTACGACTGATAGTTGTAAAGAGAATCAAAGTTAAAGTCATATGTATATCTGGTATAATTTGGATTTATAACATGTTCACAAATTAAAATTTATACAAAATTAAATAAAAATATGTAAAAACTTCATTTGAATCATAAAATTTAGACTGTACTACCACGACAAAACCATTGTGGCAGCAGTACACCAGTAGACGAAGATGAAGTTATCAAATATATTGTGGAGGGAATACCGGACAGAACTGTGAAATCAGGTACGAATTCAAAATTTCAAAGAGGTGTCGGATGTGCTGGCAGCTTTAGGGAGCATTACATTGACGGATGGAAGAAATCGACTGTCCCGTGAGCCAATGTTAGGGAGCAGATTGAGTAAGAATGAGAATCCCTTATTTGGAACGAAAAACGGATTAGTGCATAAGAAGAAAGATGCAGTGTTACTTTTTATGTAACGGAAGATACAGAGAAAAGTGTAATATTCTAATACCATGACAAAATGGATCATTCAGGTGCAGAGAAAACACAAGATATAATACTGAAAAGTTATTGGTTTCCTACTACGAGGCAGATAATTAACCAATTAATTGTGGCGATCTTTTTGTAAAGCGCGCACCAGTGTGTGTCGCGATAATCAAGCGATTTTGTTTAATATTAAGACTTAAGGGGGCATTTTAAATGGCAAAATAAATTTCCTGAGTGCAAAAGGTTAATACTGTAAGGAAGTGAACTGACTCCACATGAAAATCTGTAGTTGTTTAATGGCGCATGTTTACACAGTAAGACGGATTCAAAGAATCGACAGTTGATTGATACACATCGAGACTTGTACATCGTCTGTTACATTTATTTTTGTTTTAAATGTATCCAAATAGTAATTTCACATTAAATACGAGTTTATAATTTATTTCTTCGTCATCCTCATAAAGAAGATTAATAGTACTTTTCAAGACTAAAACTAAGGGTTTATTAAGATTTAAATGTATTCACTCGATTTTTATTAGTTTTCAAGATACAACGCTTGGAAATTTACTGAAAAAGAATTTACTCAGCAGAAACGTCTCCATTGGAGTAGTAAGTCATAAAAACGGTCTTATTGTTGCGGTATGTCTCGCATGTTTGAATTTGTCTTCCGAAACCCTGCATATAGCATCAACAAACGAACCATTTACATTTTAAAAAATCGTAAAACATAGTAGTCTTTACGTACAGAAGAATACAAAAAAGAAGAGTAAGTTTCCGTTTTAACAATATTTTATCAATTATTTCCTGCTGTTTATTATTCGAAGTACAATTCCGTATATATTTTAATACTTCATTCTACATATTTATCAAGATATTACTAGATATATTTGTATATTTTTTATACATTTTTTGAAACCATGTGTGTGTTTTTTTTATCTGAGTTTGATATATTGCTTTTTAAATAACTGTGAAAAAGCACACGGAGAAAGCAGTGAAAAATCCTCTTCCGAATGCAAACTGGCGGCGGAGCACTATCTTATTATAATTAGAAATTGTTTTGTGCGTGATCAGAGCTACACGTCACTTGCTAAGAACGTAGCGTTAACACCAATAAATTACCGAGCGTGTCACCTTTGTTCTGTACTTTTGAAAATGATATTTTACTGATAAATTTAAGTAAACACCTTTCTGTTCCGCTTTTTTACTTATTTGTTTTGACATCATTTCTTTGACACAAAAATGCACGTGAAATTATGATTTTGAGATACTTCTTC